TGCGCACATTATTTTAATTTACCTTAGACTAGGTAACCTAAGCCTATAAATCTAATCAGGCCAAATTCATACAATTTTCACTCCTACCTGGAGGCCTCCTAAATGTGACCGTTCATCATGGATAAACCATGCGTCCACATTTAACAATCATCCAGTCACGGTAGGGAACGTCACAGGACAGGCCGGGTTGTTCTCAACGGGAAGACCCTACCTTCTCTAAAAGGTAGTAAAAACCGGGGTGACCCCAGGGAAATCCCACTCTCGGCCAATCTAAGCAAGAAACCCTGTTTAGAATCCGACAATTATCATTACCAACTACTTAAACAACATTTAAGCCAATCAGGTTCTGTGTCTTTCTATATCAAAGCAAAAGTGGCATAAAACTTGATCTTAGTGGGTCTGGAGCAAAATGTTTCCATGATTTTCATAAAAACAAAATCAAAATAAATGAAAACATATAAATCACAATTAGATAAAATCAAGAATTATACTGGCATGAGTTAAATGCAAATGATGAACATCACTGACGATGATATATTCTTTCAGTGTCTCTATCACTCCTCAATCCAATTAATCAATCAGAGTCTCGTATGGCCCCCTCCACAGCTGCTTTCGTCTCCATGCGTCTAATTCAACCAACAATATAAGTTCAAAATTACTGCAACTAATATAATCTCATTCAAGGAACCTGTAAATATTTAGAAAGCATTTAACCCTGGTTTACACATTGTAACATTCAATTCATGGATTACCTAAAGAAACGTTTAAAATATCTTTACATCACAGTGTATTAAGTTTTAGTTTCTTATAAACTTATAACTGCATTTTTAGTTTTCTCTTATCCTCTCCCTACTGAAAGCGATTAAAGTTCTTTAATCTCTAAGAATAACCAGCTTGGCGCAGATTCCCCTTCTTTAAAACTCCCTTGTCAGACTCTGTAGCCATGAATGTTTCTGTATAAGAAAACATCATTCCCCAGTGGACCCCTGTGTGTCCTTTGATTCCTTAACCATGTGGGGGGGTGTGTGAAGGTGTGAAGATGTGTGTCTGTGTGTGTGGGTGTGTGTTAATCTATGTGAGTGGATCTATATGTGGAAAACTGTTCCACAGTCATCCTGCCACTGGTCTTGGAAGAGAAAGTATCTTAGAGCAGTGATCCTCTCCATCATGCAAAACAGCTCAATGTTAGGACAAGTCCATCAGGTTTCCCTCTGTTACCACAGCAGCTTTGAACCATAAAAGTCTTGGGGCCCAGGTGTCCCCACACCCCCTGAAGGATAAGTCTTTATTGGTGTCATCAGCAGTATCATATAGAGGCAGAAGGAAACAGAGCATCAAAAAAGGTGTTCCTCCCTTCAAGAGGAAATGTCATATTGAATTGTTCATCTGCTCAGAGCGCAGGATTGTACTCTGACTTGCTGCTGCGTTCCAAAACTTGGCAATTCACAGTTCCTGAAAATGCTAAATCCGACTGCATTGCGCAAAGTGTCCAGCTATAGTCCATTTAAAATGTTCTCCAAAAAAAAGTGCTCTGATGAAAATAAATAAAATAAATAAATAATGGTAGTTTTATTGTTTTTTATTTGAATAGTATTAAATATGATAATTGCTTGGAACAGGGAGTTAGTGTGTTTAATAGATTTCAGCAAAGATAACGTGGATGTGTCTAATTAAGAGGAATCATTCTTCTGAATTAACAGTTTAACTATATAGACACATTTATGATGCTTTGGTTAACCTTGACCTCGGTGGCCCCTGTACTGGGCCCATCTACCTCATGTTGATCCATTTATAGAAATGGCCAAAACACAGTCATGTTTATTTTTTCTTTCACAAATACTTTTTGTTTTATAGCTGTGTAAAAAATAAAATGAGATTTAAAATTCCACCTGACATGTGTGACCCTGCGGGAGTATTGACTTTTAGCCACACTCCCAACACAGCCGGCATCATTGGAAACTAGAGGCTCAGACCTTTCCAGGGAGGGGTCAAAGGTCATTGTGTGACCATTTCAGGTGATGTAACCGGCATGCGTTACATAAGCTTGCTCTGTTATTCTTCTTTTCTATTTAGTTGGTGGTATTATTTTGTGTTCAATGGTTAATCTAAATGAAACAACCACTAGAAGGTGCAGAAGGTCTCAAATAATATCAATCAGCATAATTGTCCTGCCAGTTCCCCTTTTTGTGTGAAAAAATGCATTTGGCACAATTTGGCCTCTTTTGCCACCACTGTGCAAAAATCACATTTCCTCCTAGCACACTGCCTACTAAAACCTATGTGGAACAAACATGCTTAAACTTATGCAGTCCAAATTAGCTTGACTTATAGTCAAGATGTGGATCTATAAAGTCTGAGGGTTCATCCAGAGTTTCAAATGGATTTTCATGGTGTTTTGCAGGGTTTATGTTGGAAAAAATTTTGGCGAGGATAATTCTTTCTTTTTGTCTTTGTTTACTCATCTAAAAATCAAACATGGTGACATTTGAAATAATGGTTTCACCTGAGAAATATTCCTCAATGCCTTTCTGTCATTCAAATACAAACAATTGTATTTCCAATTTATAGTTTGGGAGCTGTACTGGCTTTAACTCACATATGTATTTTAATTCACATTTCAATTGGCTCCTAAGACCATCTTGGCTTAAGGGGTGAATAATAATCACCATTTGCAGTTATAAATTAGAATTCAGAAAACAAAACCCAAGTCCTTAACTAGTTTGATACCCACAGTTCTGATAAATTGAGTAAATCTTAAACATTTTCAGTTATAATTCAAAACAACAAGTCCTTAATGGAAATTATCTAAAATATCTGTAAGGTGTGGATAATTTTGACACTAATGCATAATTAACTAATATAATTCCCAATTATAATTTATGGAAAAATGTCCACAATCACATAAAAGTAATTACATACATTAAGAAAACTACTAATATACTTTGCGAGGCTTAAAAATAGTGAAATAGAACCACTAACTCCCTTTAATCCAGGAAATTAAGAGGATTTACAAGGACATTAGTAACAGTTTGGTTTTATTTCTAAATCACCTCAGTTTGAACATATACAATGCAAATAAAAGTACCAATGATCAACCGATAAAAATGTTGAAGTTTTAAAATAAATCACAACTTTAACCATCTGAATAACAGAGCTAAGAGAAAACAAAAGTTTCCAGAAAGACCCTCAGTAGAAAAATTATAGTACGGTACCTTAAAAGTAACCCATTTTCCTTTACATCACACATACGTTTCATGCAAGCATTAACATAAAAAATTACATAAAGTGAAACTGTGCTTATCAACTTTATGTTTTGGTGGATATTTGTGTTGCCTAGTTTAAATAGACCAATTAGGAAAAGAATTAGCTAGTCTGGTAGAGCGGTTGACCCTGCTGCCTCCCTGAAAAAACTTTGGGCTTTCAGTCTGCTCTTTCTAAAGCTTCCTTTATTTCAATTAGTGGTTTTTTCCAATAACTTGTCCTGCCTCTCCCAGTTTAACAAGTGCAATATTTACACTTTGTTTAGACTTGTGTGTATTCATAGGATTGTCTTGGGTTCTATATCTTTATTGGACCCGTTACACACATTGTATTGAAATCCTGACTGTATGATGTTAAACTGGTGGGTTGTAGTGTATACATGTCTGAGCCAATCCCAGCTATTCGCTTAGGGTCTAGATAAGGGAAATGATTTACATAAGAATCGTGATTCCCATTTACTATGGTTCAAAGTCAATTTAAAATTTCCCAAAATCATTTAAAAGAAAATAAATAAATAAAACAATTATGCTGCCTGTCATTTTCCATTTTGTTACTCTACAGGACATTGTGACATCAACCTGCCTAGGTAAGACCTGTACGTTTTTCACTTATAGCTTTACCAGGACAGTAAAAGAGAGATTGCCAGTTCTTTTACCAAAACAACCACAATGGCAGTAAGTTGATGTATACACATCTAAAATGACTAAATTTTATGTGACATTTTACCCCGCTGACATAACTTAATTGTGCAATTCAGTCTATGTTAACAGGGCATTAGTAAAGTGGACTGGAAGACAGAAGGTAAAAATGAATAACTGTGCTTTTAGCCCCACCAAGGAGATTAGGTTTTTAATTGAGTTTGCGCCTTTTTTTCACCTACTGTGTACAGGATAACTTGAAAACTTGTCGACAGATTTTAATAACATTTTTTCCAAAGGTGCACCTCAGTCCAAGGAACAATCCATTACATCTTTGTAGTTCACATCACAATCCAGATGCAGGAATTCTTTTAAAGGATTCTTTAACATTATTAGGCAGAACAAGCAGTTCCCTCCTAAACCACAGAGTGGCAGCAGTGACTGTTGAGAGGAAAAGTGACTCATGCCTAACCTGAAGAAGATAAGAGCAGAACAAACACCAGAGGCTGCAAACACATGCTCTGCCTCATTTATAGGATTTTGAAGGGATTTTGATAAAGTTGTTACAAAAGGTGCATCTCATGCCAAAAATTATTCATTAAAACTTGGTGATGATCCAGATCATTTGTAAGTTCTGGCTATAGGTTTAACTCACAATATGGTGCAAATTTTGCAGCCTGGTGGAGTCTGTGCTCTGGAAGTGCTTTTTTAGTTTATGGCTATTTTTAACTGGCTAAACAAATTTTAAAAGTGTTCAAATATCGATATTACATACGTATGTATTGAAATATACCTTTTAGAACAATTCCAGTGTAATGAACAAAATATAAAGTAACCTTGAACCTTGACATGTGTAATAACTTCAACTCAGAGAAACAATTAGGGATCATGAAATAACAGATGTTTTACAGGTCAGTCTTCTTTCGGTCACTTTCCTTTTTAAAAACTTTGCCATCCACCTGTTGTCTAAACTTTAAGATCACTCCACTCACGCCATGCTCCTCCAGTTTGTCCTGGAGCTGAGAGAGACAAAAATCGATCTTTAATTTGGAAAGTGATCAGTGCTCCCAACAAATGTGACCTAAAAATGTCAGGACTTACTTTTTTAGGATGTTTGTTTTCAGAGAATCCTCATTCAGATCCACCAAGTCTTCTGTCTTCAGTCTTAGCTTCAAAACAGTTTTTTTGATTTCTTCAAATTTAAGAAAAAACAACAAATGTCACCACTGATGAACATTTTATGGAAAAAATACTAAAAAATAAATGTAAAAACTTTAGCCAAAACCAAACAGATTTTCTTTCAGAAATATCAAGCCATCATGTTATTGAATTATTGTTAATTCTGTCACATCAGTAGAACACTCACCGTGTTGAACACCGTAGCAGACAAATGGTAGTTTGGTTTCACAAGACAAAAACTTATATTTTCCTGAGCGCATAGTAGATGTTGCACCACATATGACCTTCATTGAGCCGAGTGGATTATAGATGCCGTCAGGGTTGAAGAAGAGGAAAGGGCTTCCATCAGACCACTGAAAACTGTTTGAGGTTCTAGACAGTCCAATCCACGAGTATTCACCAGATGGTATCAAGGTCAGGGCCATCTGGTTTTCCGTATTATTCCTCACTGTGGCCAGATCAATGAAGAACTCCCTGCAGTATTTCTGGGCATCTGTCCAATTTCTTCCTTCTGCCACGTAAACATATTCAGGCTCTAGCTGTGTGCCTGACAATGAAGAGACAGAAAACATAGATGAGTAGGTGGCTGGCCAACATTTCAGTTATGTTTTGAAATAACAAATCAGACATATTACCATTGTAACAGAGAAACGGGTACTTGATGTAACAGAAATCATCCCACCATATTTCAGTCCTGTCAGCATTAACACAAAACTGACCGCCTGAAGAAAAGTTAGGCTCATCATTGGATAGTTTCCAGCTCCTGTAATCTGCGCCGCTTCCTGAGAAGCCATCAGACCATCTCCAGTCGATTTCATTGAACAGACCAATCCAGACGTCAGAGCTGTGTCCAGCAGATGTAAGATTGTCAATAAGTTGGTTCTGTTGCTCAGAGTTTAGGATGGAGGCCAGGTCTGTGTGCTTCTGCCTGCAGTAAGTCTGAGCTTCTGTCCAAGTGAATAATTTATTAACAAAATGGTACTGAGGAAGGATGCAGGTGGAGAGGACCAACCAGTCTGGAAGATAGATTTAAAAATTTTATTTGTCATCATTGCTTTGCTCAAAAGGTTTCAATACCACCAGGTGTAAACATAAAGTCACTCACCTAGAAGAAACAAGAGTCCCAACATGATCTTCTCCATCACAATGCTGCTCTGAGGACTGCAGTAGAAAGACCTGATGTTATAATCAGTCTCAGGGTTTCTGTTTGATACATAGGTATTAGTTTTTTCAATTGCACATGCAAACTGGTTGCCATGGGTGCCTGTAGGGAAATGATGCTTAAAAATAAAATAATTTTTGCATAGTTTGTATATTACACAAGCAATCCTTTGTTTTCAAAAACAACCACAACCACAAATGTCAAGCTGCTAATATTGCATTGAACCCCTTCTTTCCCAGGTAATGATAGTTCTCAAAATTGAGCTTTATTATGGACCCCTTGTGTTTCGCTTTAACAAATTAAATATTGTAAGATTATTTTTTTTACAGAAAACCAATTTTTGTGTCATTTTTTAAATTAAACTGACAGCATTTTAATCCTTATTTTAAACTCAGGACATGAGGTATCCCAGCTACCTCATGCCAGACATGAGGTAGCTGGGATACCCTTATTTACCTTATATCCTGAGCTAACGATGCTAGCCAGTCCACTGCAGCAGTTTCTTTAGAGTCACGCTGCTTGTTCAGCCTGTTCAGTGAGCATTAACATTCAGCTAAAACTCTTAAAATCATCAGTGTCAGGAATCCAGTTTGTGTGGGTTGTGTTTTTGTGTCTTTCTCTCCCTCCACCACCAGGTGGTGCCCTCTTCTCATTGGTCCTCTCACACACCCGCGGCTGGTTGACTCATCACTGAGGACTATTTGAGCCATGGACTGTCACTACCTCGGTGCCAGAGTGTTTGCCAGTTTTGGGAAGTCATCCTGCAAGCTGGATGTTTGGCCTTCTTCCCTTGGAAGTATTGTTTGAGTCTCACACTGAGCAGGGGATAAACCTCCACAAGTTCCGTTCAAGTCCTCCAGGATTTCCAAGTGACAGTCCGCTCAATAGCTCCTCAGGGTCCAACCAAGTCTAAACCTGTCCGCCCTCCAACGAGTCTCTTCCTCTGGATAAACCCACACCGACTGGATTCTTGGAAGAAAGTTTTCTTCACTATCTTCTTGTTCACCTGTTAAAACCTTTACCCTGGTTCTCTGAGTGCTTTACTGCATGTGGGTCAGATCCCTAAGAAAATCCTGACAATCAGTTGTTGTATCAGAAAGTTTATTTCAAATAACACACAAACACAACTATCTATTCTACCTAGTTCACCATAACCCAGCAATTATTAATCATTAGATGGAAAGGGGGAATGATGGATGTTACTAGGGATGTGCCGATACCAGAATTTTTCCAACTAAGTATGATTACAAGTACTTCAGGACTTTTTAAAACAATTTTAGAGCCTCCAAAAGTATATAGAGTACCGATACGAGTACTATTAAGTGCCATTAACTCTTCAGAATTAATATGATTTTTTTTTTTACTTTAATTTGGCTTATTAAACAGAATTACACTTGGTGTATTTTAACTGTATAGATGTCCTCTTATTATATTTGAAGACATAGAACACCACTTCTAGTCTAACCAACACTGTTAGTTTAACATAGATTTTAACATTTACTGAATACTTTTAACAACCTTGTGACAGTTTGTACCTATAACTTTGAAAACAAACTGTGAATGAGCAAATGATAAATTATGCTTCTTGTAAAGCTTGTATTTTAGGTCGGAATAGAAAGCTTTCACTTCAGCTCTGTTTTTTGCAGACTCTGGTCTTTTGTCCAGTCTGTTCTTCCAACAGTAGCTCTCATAGAGATTTGACTTAATCCGGTGCAATAATAAGAGGTAATTTATCAGGGGGATAAATTGTACAACTGACGGTAGCCTGTGTCTCCCTTTAGCCACAGTGTTTAGCCGGTAGTCGCTGCAGCTCTTCTGCGGCTCCTCGCAGGCAGGACCAGCCACGGCTCGCCGGCTTCTAAAGACTTCTTCGGCAAACAGCAATGGACCCCGCTATTGCTCCTTCAGCTGTTATGCTACGTTCACACCTAAAGCAGCAAAGGCAACAGGAGCAGCTGGTTTACATGCAAAGTCAATGGTTGATGTGGATCAATCCACAGCAAAACATCCCGCAGCGGGTCTGAGCAGCTAAAGCAGTGCATTGTGAGATTATGGGCATCTGATGTTGGAAAAATTTAACTTTTAATGCTCGACGCGCCACATCAACCAATCAGAGAAGCTGATCTGGGAGCTGGCAGGGAGACAGAGACAGCACTGATCTTACAGATCACTATGATCACTCCTCTGAAACAGTTTATTAATGCCTAAATTAACTTAAGATTCCAAAATCTGCCAGCAAAACATGTTCACTTCTATTATCCTGGTGCCCGTAGTTTGGATTATGTACATGAAAAACACCTTCCAGCTGCCACGGCAAACTGCAAAGAGACGACCAGCCCATAGGCTGCTGTGGAATGGGATTCCCAGTGACAGCGCACCACCAGTATCTGGGGGTTTGAGCGGCTCCGACAGTGAAATAATATTTGAAGGCAGGATGGTAATCTGGATGAACCTACTGCACAGATTAAGTTTTCTGGTGAACTTTTTCAATGAGAAACATGTTAAAACTACTTTTTACCCACTGATCACAGCAAATATAGATGTCGCTGTTAAATTGGAGCGGATATACTGTGGTCAAGTCGGCTTAAATCGCAGGGAAAAAAAGCAACACACTACAATCAACTCCTTCTGAATCGTAGGAAAGGTTGTCTGCCACGGTCCAGCGAGCACAGAACTCTATGGAGGGTTTTTGTCACTACTTTAGCATAGCCTTCAGCTGGGAAGCACTTAGAGTCTAGCTTTAAGCAGCTGTGGACTCCTGGTAACAGGAAGTTGATGGGAAGTGTTTCCTTTTGTCACATCAGCTCACACCTGCAGGTCATTCCCTGATCAGCAGCAGGCCCTATATAAGGACGGAGCCTCCACCTGCTCGCCGTCAGATTGTTGTCTAACCCTTAGTGGTAAACACTCTCAGGCCTTCTGTTTGCTCATGTCTAGTTTTGACTAAGCCAAGGTTGTTGCCGCTCCTAAACCTGCCTGTTCTCTTCCCCCAGTGTCTCGTCTGATTATCTGGACCCTCACCCTCGTCTGTTGTCTTGGACTCCCTGGTGACAACCTCCTGCCTGCCCGACCACTGATTCAAGGATTGCCCCAAACTCTGACTGGTTTCACAGATCTGACCCTTGCCTGCCTGACCAAGAATTAAATAAACCAACTTTGCCAACTGCTCTGTTTTGTCCATTTGTGCCTGTAAAGTGTGAAAGTACAATCTGACCAGACAACATGGACCCAGCTAAGCAGACACCTACCTCTATCTCAGAAGTCCAATCCCTGAGGGATCTCATAACACGGCACAGGAAAGCATTGGGACAGAGCGAGCACAGGCTTACTGGACTGGAGACAGCAAGCCAGACCATTCACATGGAGCTCGCACAGTTGACGGCACAGGTAGCACACCTTACATCTTTGCTTACCTCTGTTGCAGCTCCACAACCGCCTCTAGTTCCCCTGGCTCCAGCATCCGAGGTTCCTCTGCCAAAACCGGCTTCTCCTTCGGATTTTCCCCAAGCCGTAGCCCCATCTGTGAACCACAGCGGAGCATATGTCCCGGATTCACCTACTTTCTCCGGTGAGCTCTCCCAATGCCGAGGCTTCCTGCTACAATGCCAAATGGTCTTCAGCCAGCAACCCTCGGCTTTTGCATCTAACCTTTCAAGAATGTATTATGTCATGGGCTTGCTGCGGGATCAGGCTCTTGCATGGGCGCTTGCTTTCACTTCCGCCAACCCTCTAACATCCCTCCCCTATGCACAGTTTTCCTCCGAAATAAGCTAAATGTTTGATCATCCTGACCATGCTTGAGACTCTGGGGCAGAAGACAGTTTTATTGATGCTGAATTGGCAAAGCAGCTGAATATTCCCAATGAACCTGTCAGCCTGCCATTGTCTTCTAATGGTTTAAATGACAAACTATTGTTTTGTGTTTCCCACCAAACAGTGGTGTTTCATAGTGCTTTAATCACTACAGCTCCAAATCACTTTTAACCCCCTCACATTCATTCACAAACAGGTACTGACAGAGGTGCTACACCATGCCATTGGCCAGGTAAACTTTTCCCTTACCCAACCTTTATCACATAAACATGTCTGCAGAAGGCAAAGTATGTATTTTTTTTAAATACTTCTCTCCTCTCTACAGATCAACAGAAGGCCTTTTTTCTTATCTGTTCACACACCCTGCAGGTTTTTTAAACCTCAAATCCATTTGGAGTGTCTACCACACAATCACACAGCTTCCCTAGCCCTACTTGTAGTGAAATTAGTTTGTTATCATTCTCCACTTTCAAATTTGCATGCGTGTTTACAACAACACTTTATCACAAGGAAGAAAGCTGGAAAACCTGTTTTAAACTAGAGAATTGTGAAACTGAAACCGTACTCCCCTAGTGTGAGGCACACGAAATATGCAGTCACATTTGTTTTTATTTCCTTTTGAAAATTGTTATTTGAACTTTTAGTAGCACTTGAGTTGAAAAGAAAAGATAGTTCTTGCGGTTATTTATTTATTATCTCTGGTTGATCCTAATGTCATTGTGGAGTGCACCACAGGGGGACAGTGTGTTGAGCAGGCGGACCCGCTGCCTCAGATGGAGGGAAACTTGTTGTCGGCACTTTTTCAGCTTACACTCATACTATTGCTGAGTTTGAATTCAGTGTCTTCATCCTCTAAAGGCCAGATTCGTCAGCCAATTACGTCATAGAATGGCAAAGTGGCATGTTCGGAATCCTCGTTATGCCAGATGCAGCCTTGTTTTTACCTTGGGTATTCCATGATTCATTGTGATTCCAACCAAGGCAGCTGCTCCGTGATTAGAGGAAAAAGGGCAATGGCGCCAAAGAGTGGTGAATATTGCAATTGCAGTTTAATATAATCCAAGTATGTGAATAGTTCCGTCTGAAATTAATGAAAAGAGTTGTTTTGATGGTTGTTGAGTCAGATATGTGGAGGATATTATTTGTATTATTGAAAGGTTATATCTCTCCCTATGTAAATGGGTTTGGCTGACATTTAAGCTCAGATGCCAATATTTTGGAATCTATTTTTTGTAGGAGAGTTGATGCCTAGTGGGTAGGGCATTGCACTTGAAATCCAGAGGTTCTGAGTTCAAGCCCCACTCCCACAGACTGCCACTATGGGTCCTTGAACATATACCCTTAACCCCACACTGCTCCCCAGGCACAACACAATGGCAGCTCATTACTTCCCAAGGGGATGGGTACTTGTGGCAGTGTAATCACAATTAAAGCTGGAAATAAAATCTCTGCATTAAGAAGTTCGATATCCATTCTTTGCCTGCTTTGTGTGTCAACGGCTGGGCGACAAAGCATACGGGTGGACCTGTTTGCATCATAGCCAAAACTTTCAGCCCCCTTATTTTCATAGACCTTGAAGGAACCAGTCCGGGTAGACCAGATCCTTGGATGATGCTCTGAAATTGAACGCACCCTATGCAGTGTGGCTGCATCAAACCAAAACACACTGTGTCTTGTCTCAGAATTTCTACTGTCCATTCAGGTAGTATTGGGCAAAATGCATACAAAATCACATGTAACTGGACTGTATATTATTTTGCTGCTCTATTGCCTAGCCTTAGCTTGAGCAGCTATTCTTGTTTCTGCAAAGTTATAACACAGTTAAACTTAAGTTAAACCTGAACTGAAGAACCAGTAGTTTAACTGTGTGGTCCAACAGTTCTATTTGCTTTACTGTCTGATGTTATTATGTTTTTATCCCTGATAGTTTATATTCTATTACTGATCACTCTTTTTTTATGGTTTAATTAATGTAAAGCCTTTTGAATTGGTTGTTTTTTGTTTTGTTTTGTTTTTTCAACAGTGTCCTGTCTCCTAATGTGGCAATAAGAATAATTGTCTTGATGCCAAAAAGAGCCCAACAGATTTTACTTTCACGAGTGTAGCAGTATGGCAATTACCATATTGCTCAACTTGTTTCATGCATATAAATTGCTTTATTGTAATTATGCAGGGAGTGTTACAGTTTATATGGACACTGCAATGTAAAAAGAGCAGAAAAACAGAAGAAGAAAAGGAAAAAAAGAAAAAAAGAGAAAAGATGAAAAAAAGAAGAGATAAGGAATCAATGACAAAACATTTTCAGTCTGCTTCATCACCTGTAACGAGATGAAAAAAGAACAGCACAACCGAAAGACATGGTACGAGACATACAATAAAGCAACACCTTGAAACTATCGCTAGAGTAGTATTATTAAATCTGACATGTACTCTGTGTTACCTGAAGATATGAATGTGGGGTTTCTGTATGGAAAACCACGAACCACGGCGCTCCTCCACCAGACGAAGCCAGAGCAGTACAGCCGCATCCGCCACCCGCACCAGCCCCCGACCCCCGGCCGAGGCACCTCGGCTGCCCCAGCCCCCCGAGCCATGCCTCCACCCGCCCCGCAGCCACACCCGCCACGATCAGCGGGAACAAAGCAGCTCCACCATGCCTCCAAGTGGGAAGACCCACCCGAAAACCCAATCAGCGCAGCCAGCCCATCCACACCAGCCCCCCAACACCACCCCCAGCCACAGCCGCCCAGACCCCCACACACCAGCGGCGCGTCGTCAGCAGGACCCCCACCAAACGGGGCCGCCCGCCCCCCGAGAAAACAGACATGCCAATCCCCCCCAAAAAAAGAACGCCGAGCAGAAAAGCCCCCACAATGCGACAGCGGACACCAGACACCGACCCGCCCGCTACCGCTCCCCCCACCGAGAAAAAAAAAAAAATGAATATATATATATATATATATATATATATATATATATATATATATATATATATATATATATATATACATATATGCATACATACATATAAATAAATAAATAAATAAAAATAAAATAAATAAAAATTGGGGAATGGGCTCCGCACTTAGCAGAGACTTGAGATGTATTTGGGAGAGGGTGCAGTTGAGACCCCAACCTGGGAGAGAAAAAAAAAAACACTCACAATCTCAATCATGCCTTCCCTCCCTAGTGCCCCCACTCGCACCACAGAAAATAAATAAATAAATCAATAATAAAAAAATAAATAAAAATAAAATTATAAATATAATAAAAACGCGGACACACATTCATACATAACACTCACATCCAATAATACCAGGACCAAAGACCCGGCGGCACCGATGGTTGGTCCCGGGACTAGCGGATGACCTAATAAGTGAACCTAACATGCGGATGGGGGGGAGGGGAGCGGCGACACCGCCACACCAACTCATCTCATTCCTGCTTCGAGCCTGGCCCCCCACCCCGCACACGGACCTGACCGCCCCCTGCAAGTGCCCCCCTCGGGACCAGGGCCCACCCATCCCACGCAGGCCACCACACCAGAACCCAGCCCCCCCCCCAAAAAAAAAAACCTGTTTCAACCAGGCACTTCATGCCCCTCCTTCCAACCTTCTTTGGGGAGAGCAGAGGCGACAGCCCCGCCACCGGCAGGCCACCTAGGCCCCACAGCCGGCCCCAGCCAAAACCACGGACCAGGTGGCTCACTCTTCCTCCAGGCCCCAGACTCCGGGCGGCAGCCGGAGAACAGGGGTGTGAGAAGACCCCGATCCTCCCTGCGCCTACTCAAATGTGGTGTTGTTGCGTGTTGCTCTCAGATGTAATTAAAACTGGGAGTACCAAGAGGGGGTGTTCCCAGCAAGACAGTAAGTTCCAGACCTTCCCCACTAGATGAACAGTGGACATCCAAAGGAAGGTTTAAACTACAGTTAAAAGATATTACCTGCACAAAGTACTCTGAATTGTCTTTGCACTGGATTGCCCTAAAAGAAATAAGTTATCTTCAATGTCAACATCAACAGTATGTTCTTATGAAAATGTTTCATAAGAACGCCATTCTTTGTTCAAAGGATTGATGAGAATTTTCACTTTATGAATAAGTATGCTTGAATTTATCCTTCCAGATAGAATTTAGTCCTTACAGAAATATACTTGTAAAATTTTGAAATTGCAGAGAAAATTAAAATACTTTCCAAGTTACTATCTAAATATATATTTGAGCTGGGGTTCAAACAGAAGGTTTGGATCCACTTTCCCCAAGAGATTGTTTGAGCTTCGCACTGAGAAAGGGATTCATCTCCACTAGGACCCGTTCAAGTATCGCAGGAAATCTGAGTGGCAGTCAGTTTCTCTGTTCACCTACAAACAACCGCATGCTGGGTAAATCCTGTTCCGCCCTCCACCAAATCAGACAAACACTGGACTTACAGCATACAGACTAGAGTCAAGGATTCAACAACTTCTCTGGAAACGTGAGTCAGACACCAAATCCGCTTCTCCAAGTTCACGAGTCAAAATTCCCACTGAGCTTGAACTAACCGCTGGGTCTTTCCGTCACTTTTCAGTTCCGGTTGAGCAGTGTTCAGAGCAACACTTCTCTCTGTATTATCTCTTCAATAAAACCTGTTAAACCTTTTCCCTGATCTCCCTGTTTGGTCTTCTGCATTTAGGTCTGAACTTTAGTAAAATCATGGCAGTAACAACGAAGGATTATAGGGAATCTAAAATCTATGCAAACACTATGCACTACTACAAAATAAACATGACTATATAATAATTTGGAAAGATGGGAAAAGGGGTGCTAATAGTCCACATAAATGAGTGTCCAGTGTAGGCCAAATGTCAACTCATTCAATAATGTCAAAATAGCAGCAGATATAATAAACTATAATAGATGAAGTTATAAACAGTGTGATTTCATTCAGTTTACAATGGTTAATTATTCACAGATGTATTACAAACCTACATTCATCTAAAACCCAGCTAGAAAGGAGCTTTAGCAAGACAAAGAGTCATGAAAACAAATGGCTGACTCCTACCATACAGTTAAAGGAGGTGGAGCAGCAGTGCTGGAAAAACACTTGAGTTCGTAAATCTCACAATATGGTGGCAGTTATCATGTGACAAAGGCGGAGGGGTGGACTGCAGACACATGTTTTTACTGGGCTCATGTGGACTGAAATATAAAATTTCCTCTCATATCCTTTCTAATATTAATTATGAATGTAGATTTTTATTTACTTAATTTCTCTTAGCAGAGCTGCTAGTGTCATAAGCTCAGAAGGTAGGACCCAGAATTCAGGCGAGACAGACAGTGGGATACTTCAAAGTGCTTATTTAAAACTGCACCACCAGAGCGAACAGCTGCAGGAAGCAGGCATGGCTGTCAGGGAGCAGAGCGAGCCCTTAAGCCACAAGAGGGCTCCTTCTATTTTGATTCTTTTACCTTTTTAATACTTTTCCGACTATTTCTATCTGCAATAAGACTAAAACCTGCAATTTTATCTGGTTTCTTTTTAACACAAATTCATCAGATGTAAAGCAAAGTGGGATACTTCAAAGTGCTTATGTAAAACACAGATAACAGAGGTGGGCTGTGGACCTGCAGCGGCTGCAGCAGGGTGCTGCCCATCATTGGAAACTGGTTTGACAAAAAGCACATACTATGGCTAACTGTTTATGCTTTATTTTTTCCTCTGACATGGGAGCTAGATCTGAGTTTGTCTGCCTTGCTATTTGTTTCCAGACGGGGCCGCCTGTGGAGCTTCTTTCTGTATGTCTGCTTCTGTCTCCTTGAACCCCAGTAAGCCTCGGCAGACGGCCGCTCACACTGAGCCTGCTCCTGCTGGAGCTTTCTTCCTGTTAAAAGGGAGTTTTTCCTTCCCACTCTCGCTGCAAGCATGCTTGGTCTAAGGGATTGCTTTCAAGTCAATGCAATCAGCTGGTTTTTAGCTGTAGATATCTTTTAACCAATCTGACGGTGTTATCTGGTTGACTTGTTGGGGAATTGCCGCTATATAAATAAACTGATTTGAGCTCATGGGGTCAGTTTCATGAAGCAGATTTAATGAAAACTCAAAGTTTTCTAAACCTGAAATATGGAAACTCCTGAGTTTTCTGTTTAGCAAAGAGTTTCCTCAACCTCTGTTTCAGTCACCATAGTAACATTCTCCCCAGAGCTAAGCTGGTTGGGAGCAGGTTTTCTTTAGTAAACTCAGTTTCCCCAATGTCCACTCTCCTTACAGTCACATTGTTTTATTTCCTGATTTAGTAAGATTTTTGTTAAATAAAAAAATAAAGTTATTAAAATTAAATTAAAGAAACAAACAGAAAATCATTCACTAGGTAAATCCATTTGACAAATTTCAAAATTGAATTATTTATTGGAAGAAGATTCTACAACTCAAATGACGGGGTATTATATCTAATTTTGGTTTAGTTATTTTGAGCAACATGTGGATCATTTTATCTTTATTTATCTTTTCAGTATGCGAAGAACTACTGAAATTCCTTTCCCCCTTAGAATAATAAATTAATCTAAGGAGGAAAGGAATTACTTTAGGGTTAGGATTAGGATTCACTGTGATAGCAACCTATTTAGCCTATTGGCACAATCTGAAGCCCCTCTATGGAACTGATAACCACTAATAACAACCATTTATTGGTGTGGTAACATTGGGATGTTATCGGCTGTAACAAACACGTAGTGGTTATTATGTATGAAAGACAGAATAAACTGAGAACCCATGACATTATGAACAGATCTTAGCTGTAAGAACATTTTTATTCTTTATCTTCACCTGCTGCCAGATGATTTCACCTAAATAGATACATTGATCCACTACCATTTAAGAAATAAACACGGAATGTTATTGTGATCACAACAGACTACGGCAAGTCGTTTTGACATGTATTAGTTATACTGAAAATGTATTCCTCATATCTGAAATAATATCCTTGTCGAAATGACTATTTTAAACTAAATGACAGTCTTCACATCTAGAATAAACATTCTGGATGTCTAGAAATGTATTTCAGATCTCCATATTCCTATGGTTAGTGGCAGCATTTGCATTATTTTGACCATAAAGAAATGAATTTCGAACATCAACAATATATATTTAGTCAAGATGATAAATGTCAGAATAGACACATTGATTAATTATTCTTATAGACACTTGAGACCCCCTAGTTTCCCTGCAGCGCTAAACATTTGTTTAGTATCCATATGCACTGATCCCAGGATTTTTTTTAGGGTGCTTTCTCATTACTCTGAAGCCACTGATCATTTAGCCTGAAACTGCACTACACCTTCAGTCCAACAGGTGGTAGTCATGAGAAGACAACTGGTTCTCCTTTTACTTCCAGCTATAGGTGACTTAGTTTCTAAAGGACTTATATTTAAAGACCATACTTTATCCAGAAATGATAAAAGAAACAAAAAACAAACACCTGTAGATCGTTACAAAGCAAAACGTTTTGCAGATTTATACTATGATACATAATGCACCCAGAAACGCCACCATTTAATTTTAAACACTCGAATTTGAAGATTAAGAGATTTTTTTTCTTACATCATTTAGAAATGTTTCACAACAATGTAATACATATTTAGCATAGTAGCAAACAGGTAATTAGTGATAAATATGCGTTGGAATGTAAATTTTAATCTAGCAAACATTGTTATATTTCTTAGTTTATAATTCTTTCTTCTCCTTTTTGAAGACTTTCCCATCAGGCTGCTCTCTCCACTTCAGGGTAACTCCACTCACTCCGTTCTCCTGCAGTTTGTTCTGGAGCTGTAGGATAAAGGTACAAGACATTAAAAATATAGACTTTTTGGATTTTGGATATTTATTATGCACTAAATACAATGGTAAAGGTATAGAGGACGATCTTTTATTTCCAGGTGGATCATCTAAATAATTGGTCCTTCTAATTGTCAGTTATTCTGGTAATATGTTTACATAAGGCCGTCCCACGTGCTCGTCCCATTAGCTTTCTTTTTCTGCCCATGCGCACTTTCAGACGTATATCTGTGGTGAGCTACGGTTTCAGACAGTAATTGAAGCTCACCTTTCTCACTGCAGGTCTTTGAAAATGGCTGATGGTCGTAAGAGAAAAAGTGTCTACCAAGTCTATGAGAAGAAAAAAAAGGCCTAAGAAGAGTCAGATATATCCCAGATGTCAGGAATCCAGTTTGTGTGTTTTTGTGTTTCATTTCCTCCTCCACCAGGTGGGGCCCCGTCCTCATTGGGTCTCCCTGCACACCTGCAACTCGTTACCTCATTACCTGTGAAGTGTTCTTAAGCTGCTGACTGCCAATACCTCGACGCCAGAGTGTTTGCCAACACATGGTACTCTAGCCATGCTTAGTTTAGCAGAGTCTAAACTAAGTCTTTGTTTTGCCAATACTGGGCACTCTAGCCATGCTTAGTTTAGCAGAGTCTAACCTGAGTTTTTGTTGGCCAGTTTTGGACTCTATAGTCAAGCTGAGTTTTTCTGAGTCTTAACTTTTTTTTTGTCTTTGCGTCTCGGCAGGAAGTCATCCTGCAAACTGGATTTGTTCGGTCCCTCTCTCTTTGGAAGGTTCAACTGAGCTTCTAACTGAGCTGGGTTTCCAAACAGGAAGTTTGGACCCACTTTCCCCAAGAGGTCGTTTGAGCTTCACACCAAGCAAAGGTTTCTTCAGCACCGCAGCCTGTTCAAGCACCACAGGAATTCAGAGTGGCAGTCAGTTTCTCAGTTCACTCCAAACAGGAAGTTTGGATCAACTCTCCCCAAGAGGTCGTTTGAGCTACACACCAAGCAAAGGTTTCTTCAGCACCGCAGCCTGTTCAAGCACCACAGGAAATCAGAGTGGCAGTCAGTTTCTCCGTTCACTCCAAACAGGAAGTTTGGATCAACTCTCCCCAAGAGGTCGTTTGAGCTACACGCCAAGCAAAGGTTTCTTCAGCACCGCAGCCTGTTCAAGCACCACAGGAAAACAGAGTGGCAGTCAGTTTCTCAGTTCACTCCAAACAGGAAGTTTGGATCAACTCTCCCCAAGAGGTCGTTTGAGCTTCACACCAAGCAAAGGTTTCTTCAGAACTACAGCCCGTTCAAGTACTGCAGGAAATCAGAGTGGCAGTAACCTTCTCCATTCACCAAGGAACAACCACAGTCTGAGTAACCCAGTCCACCCATCACCAAGCAAGCCACTCTCTGGTACAATCCTCTCACTCAGGATTCCATAAAGGACACCTTTCCCTGGGGAAGTGAATCTGCAACCTTTTCCTCCAATTTTAACCTAAGATTCAAATTTCCCACTGAGCCTGAACTAACCGCAGTGTCTTCCCCTCACCTTTCAGTCCCTGTTGAGCAGTGCTCAGAGAAGCACAGGATGCATCACCATACTCTTAATAAACCTGTTAAACTTTAACTCTGTCTGTCTGTTTGGCTTTCTGCATCTTGGGGTCAGACTTTAGATAAAATCATGACGCCAGAATGCTTTGCGTGGAGAGATCTCCTCACACAGCAATATGGGATTTGCTGTCACGGCAGTGCGCTGTCGCCATAGGCTGTCACTACCGGACAGCAACGACTAATAACAAAGATGGCGCAGGCACCCTGCAGTGGACCAACTGGGAAGTGATCATCTGTCCAAACCGTAAGTTGGCTGAGTTCACCATAAAGTCCCTGCCCTATATAGGGATTGAGGGATTTAGGTGTTAGGGAGAACATTTGGATGTCGTAAGCTTGTATGAGCTCTGAGAACAGCAACCTTTAAACAGAGCGTGCACAAGGAGAAATGGGCTCTTGCACGCTCTCGTACATGTACTGTTTTTCAAAGTGGAGAGGAAAGGTTTTTTTTAAAAGATTCAACAAAATCCTCCACAATACTTTTAATTTCAAACTTGCCTTTTTCATGATGCGCTCTCTTAGAACAGGGTCATTCAGGTCCACAGAGCCGTCTGCTTGAAGTCTGAGCCTCACTAACTGTTTTTTCATTTCTGATTTAAAATCAAGAACATAAAGATTAATTTGAGCGTTCATTTCAGTAAAACTGTCTTATACATTGAAAGAAATTAATATACACTACAATAAATATATGTATTTAAGTTTACACTTAATAACTCTAATTCAGGCTGTTTTAATCCAATCTGATATTTCCATGATGTAATTTTCATATCAGGATAATTAAATGTATTTTGTGACAACATTCAATTTCTGAAAGCCCTTGTTCTTGAGGATAAATAGTTACTCTTTCCCAATTGAAATCAGCTTATATGTGCACTGAAAAAAATGCACCCGTTTTTGGCATTTATTTAATAATATAAACTTGCTTTAACACAATTTTTTGATGTCCTACCATGCTAACAAGAAAAAATGTGTTAAAGTAACTAAATATAATTAAGTAAATGCCAAAAATGGGTGCATTTTTTTCAGTGTGCAGAGTCAGCAAACCTCTACATGATGGGAATGTTACTTTGTTAAATGATTTTGAGTTTTTTCCTTTTTTGTTGATTTTACTTGTTGAATTTATTTTCCTCAAAGGCAGGTTAGGCTTTCAGGAATTAGCATAACAAGACTTCTGCTTTAAACTACACAGATTCAATAAGAGTTGATCTTGATGTTCTTCTCTGCAAGTGGTGGGCCCACATGAAGAGCTTCTGCAGCTTCTTTGGGCTGAACCCAACAAACCAGGGGTTTACACCTCTACGTTCTATTGCATAGTGATATTGAAGAAGGATATTGAATCTGAGCTGAAAATAATTTAGTAAAAAACATCCCTTTGTTTCAGTGAAAGCAGGATGAAGAGGCACAAATAAGCAAAATTAAAAATAATTTAACACCATTGGTCAGAGAATTTAGTGAAATACTAATCAAAGATGTTTTAATCTACAAAAGATAGAAATGCATATTTGGTTAATCTAACTTTATAAAAAGTTAGGTAGATACAGAAGGTACAGAAATATACCTATTTCTAATAGTATTATTATTATATTTTCTCCTTTTCATTTTCAAACACACTCACCAGGAATGTCATAACAGACAAATGGTAATCTTGTTTCACAGGGCAAAAACTGCCATCTCCCTGATATCTGAGTAGATGTAGCACCGCATATGACTGTCATTGAGCCAATCATATTAATGATGTACTTCCAGTTGGTAAAGAGGACACTGTTCCCGTCGGACCAGAGAAGATAAGGATCTCTATATAGACCAATCCATGCATGGTCATCCTTAGGTATCAGGCTGTGGACCTGCTGGTTCTCTGTGTCATTTTTTATGGTGGCAAGGTCAGTAAAGTTTTCTTTGCAGTAAATCTGAGCATTGGACCAGCTCATCGCTGTATTCACATAAACAAATTCAGGATCCAAAGGCGACCCTGATAGAGACAACAATGGAGGAGGAAGGTTCAGGTTCTAGATCTTAGATTAACGAATTAAGGAATTTTGTATCATAATTCACATTTTTACCGTTGTAGCACACAAACTGGTGATCCTCTGAGCAGCTCGCATCATACCATTCCCCTCTGTGGTGAAAAGCTGTGCATAACTCATCTTCTTGGGAAAAAGCTGGTTGATTTGTTTGCCAGTCTCTGTAGTCAGCTCCACTCCCATTGTAACCATCAGACCATTTCCAGTGGATTTCACTGAACAGACCAATCCAGACCTCAGAGCTGTGTCCAGCAGATGTAAGAGTGTCGATGAGTTGGTTCTGGTGCTCAGAGTTCAGGATGGTGGCCAGGTCTGTGTGCTTCTGTCTGCAGTAGGTCTGAGCTTCAGTCCAATTCAATAATTGATTAACAAAATGGTACTGAGGAAGGAGGCAGGTGGAGAGGACCACCCAGTCTGGAAGATAGATTTAAATATTTTATTTTCCATCATACAGTGAGGCTATTTAAAACCACATCAATACCATTAGATATAAACATGAAGTCACTCACCTAAAAGACACAAGACTCCCAGCAAGATCTTCTCCATCATGATGCTGCTCTGAGGACTGCAGTAGAAAGACCTGGTGTTATAATCAGTCTCTGAAAAGGCTTTTTGCAACAGTAATGGTCTATGGTCACTAAATGGTCATATATATGCAAAGCTGGTTGCCATGGCTGCCTGTAGGAAAATGATGCCTATAAAGGGTATGCATGTTTGCAAAGTTTCAGCTTAGATAAACAAGCATCTTAATAAAAACAGCCATAACCCCTATCAATATTTCAAGCTGCTAATGTTACAGGAAACCGCTCCCTTGTGGTGGTTCTTAGATATAGTGAAATGGAACATTGATCATTTTTATCCATTTCTGCCTTTTAGAGCAGAGAGTCTCTATGCGACTGAAAAAGTGCTATGGTCATAACAGAGAGTTTCATTTGAAAAGAAAGGACATTGAGGGATTTCCTACATTCAGGGCTACATGGTGTCTTAGGGGGTTTTACTTTTTTGAAATTAGAGTAGATTTTTGACATTAGTCCTTGCTGAGTTGACAAAGCTCAAACATCAATGATTTCACTCAGAGGGATCACTTCCTGTATTAATAAGATGCAATCCTGGAATCAGCTTCCAGCTTTATTGGAGCCCAAACATTATTTAATTAAAAGATCCAACTAATCAAATGAAATGAACTTCAGCTCAGCTTTTAACACCATTATTCAACAGCATCTGATAGGAAATCTGGAACATCTGGGCTTCAGGGCACCCATTTGCAATTGTCTGCTGGACTTCCTCACCAACAGACCTCAGTCAGTCTGGGTTAGACAGAACAGCTCTGATGTCATCACCCTGAGCCAGGGGTCGGCAACCCAACCTGCTCAAAAAGTCATTTGGACCAAAAAAACAAAAAATAATAAATCTGTCTGGAGCCGCAAAAATGTAAAAGTCTTATATATGCCTCTAATGCCAACACTGGCTCTAAGTGCATAATCCCACTATAGGAAAGGACTATGTGGGCTTAAAAATATAATGAGCATTAATGATTAAATGTTTATCCTGGAGCAAATTTCACATAGTAGCATGAGGTGACGCCCCTTTGCGGCACGCTGCTTCAACCGTCCGCTTAACCGCCATTTACCGCGCGGTTTAAGTTTTGTTGCATTGATGAAATTACAGAGACACATAAAGGAATCTTTCTATGGTGGACATTTTTCTATTGGGAGGAGTTGATTGAGTCATAAGGAACCAAGCAGGAACTGACATCAATCAGAGCAGAGCTCTCTTACCCCGAAATCCCACATCTTCCGTCACCATCGTTCTGATTTATATTTTTAGGATTTGGTGAAAAATTGGAAGAAAGTTCACATACCTGCATCAGAGCGCTACCTGTTTGATCTGTGGACGGTTTTCCATCCTTGCAACAAAACTAGCAGCAGTGGTGAAGTTTGGAGATGCAATCCACCTCTTAAATCTCTCTTTGCGATCCTCTAATTTACCCAGAAGTTCTGCAAGCTTGGTGGTCGGCTGCATATTTAGCCTTCCCTGGAAATGACTTTCCAAATTTTTCTTTTTCTTTTTTGACAATCTCTCATTACAAAGCAAAAAAGCAGGCAATCCTTCCGCATTGATAATGAGGAAATCCGAGTGATAGTCCGCTCCATTAATCCTCCGGGTCCGACGTTTTTCTACCTGTACTTCTCCAAATGTGTTCCCTATTCTCTGGATATCCCACAAAGACTGGATTCAAGGACTGACTAAGGCCCCCTCAAATGTGAATCCCTCACCTGCATAATCTTTACAACATCCAAGATTCCCACGGTGCCTAAACTGATCTCTGTGAACTTCCCTTCTCACTTCCAGTTCCGGTTCACCAGTTCATTGAGTTCCAGATCCTACCGCTGTTCTCATATCACAAATAAACCTGTTAAACTTTTCCCGTGTTCCCTGAGTGGTTTCTCTGCATGTGGGTCAGATTCGTTAAACCGATCATGACAATTGGGATGCAGTTTGTCTTTAATGTCACTGAAGTGTAACTTGCAAATTTTTCACAGTCTGCAATGTTTTACCATGTTATCCCTTTCATGCCGCAACCATGTTTGGGTTTCTGTTGAGACTTTTTTCCTGTTTATAGTTTAGAGTTTTTGTTCCTCAGAGGACAAATATGGCACTCTTTCTTCTGCAGTCATGATTGTGATTGGTCTGCTACCTTAACCCCGCCCCTTTATATGTGTAAATTCCCAAATTCATGATCAGTCAAAGCTGGGTTGAGGTAGCGAGTTGATAACTGGCTTGGTGGTACCACTGATCCTGATTGCTGTTATTGTGGATTGATAAAGCTTGATATGCTGGGAGTAATGAATAGCTTGAGGTAGCTCCATGGGACGGGCTTTAGGCAGATACTGAAGTCTTCAGGAAGAAGAAAGCAGGAAAGACTGAGTTTTTAAATAAGAACCCAGAGACATTAATGTTTCTTTAAGCTAGCCTCTGCTAATGACTTCTCTTTAGTCCTTGACATTAGAAAACTGTTATTTCATGTCACCAAATGTTTTGTCTTTTAATAATTAATGTCGCCGTGAGAAAAACATTCAAATGCTGTGAGCAAAAATATTTCTATTGTATTGCAGCACAACAAAAGTGTCTGTCGATTTAAACAAACAAGACTTCCTAACAGATCTATACCATCATAATACATTTGATTATTAACTTTTGCATGGAAAACATTGACACCTCTGCCTGTAGATGCATGTTGGTATAGGAAAACAGGATTTGCATTTTTTTTCACTAGCACAAAAGCAAACACTGACATGAAGGACAAGCTTGACAAGTTTAATGCAGTCTAGTTATTCTTAGAAGCCCAAACTTAATTGTTTGGACATCTTGATGTGTAATTAAAATAGTGACTGTACTTAACAGCATGTTTTTATTCTGATTGGCTCTTATACGTATGAAAAAACCTTTAACAAATCTATCATGGATCAACACTCAGATTCTTTAAAGTGATACAACATTTTATGGGATTAGCCATCAGGCCCACTTAGCTTTTCAGCAGTCTGAAAATTAGATTTCTTGGCCTGAAGAGAATCCCATTAAAGAATTCCTACCCAATGTGGTCTCTCTATGTTCTCAAAAGCAAAGAGAATGGGTGTTGGGGTCATACTGCCTTGATACTAAGTACAATATTCGTGGCGTCACATGTTGCTTTGATGTGTCTCTGTAGGAGTGTTTTGCAGAGGGTCTTTATTCTTTAGAGTTGGCATAGAAAACCAACATAGACATTGGTTCTCTATGTCCAAAATTAGTATTATAGGTTATGGCATAAAACTAAGCACACATATCTAACATAATAACTTTTTTTTTGTAAAAGTTAAACATTTGTGTCCTCCACCAGTTTTGGTAGTTCGGCATTTTATGTCCCACCATTATCCAGGTACCAAAAGTTTGCATAAAGATCTGCGATAACTGGTTCTATATTTTCAGGCAGAAATAAGTTCTTAATCCTTCTGATATTAACAGTTTATATTTTGTTTTTGTACATTTAACGATAGGAGGAGCTAGTGAAGAACAAAAACTTTAATTTCCTTTAAGATTTCCAGTAGAAAACCTAAGAAAAATACTGATTGCAATCTGTATTTCTTGTGTTAAATATTTAATCATATATATTTTCATGTACAGCTTATGCCATTCTAAAAGACATGTTTACAGAGTTCTTAATCATCTAAAATGTTCTTTTCTTAAAATAAGTCTATTAGAAAATTCACAATTCAGATTAAAGTTCAGAGTAAAAGGAAAAGTTACAACCATAGCTAGTGTCAGGTTTCCAGAGCTGGGTGGAGTGGCTTTTTGTTTTTTCCTTTTTTTCTCTCACAGGGTGGCAGGCTAATTTAGTCCAGCTGGGTTCCATTCCCTCAATCAGTGGTGACCTTTAAGAAGGAGCAGTCTCCCTCAAGCAAACGGCAGATGGATGTTGTACTCAGAGTGGTAACAAGCCAACTTAAGAGAAATCTCAGTATTGTGTTTTTTTCCCTCCTGTTGGATCTTCTCTATTTAAGACCTTATTGTCCTTCTCTGCTTCAGGATTCCTTTTGGAAAAGACCGCTGTTGGATCTACCTCCCCCAAGGCTTCTGTTCTGCTCCTTCCTCAGGGTTACCAACTTGGCCTTCAGAACCCCTCGCTCAAACCTGTCCACCCTCATCTCCAAAAAAACTGAAAGACCAGTGTCTCCACTCTCAACCTCCAACATCTACTTCCAACCAGCAAGACCGGGCTTCATGGACTCATACTTAATGCAAGCTGACTTAAACTACTTAAAACAATCTTCCATAATCCAACCACATCCCCTTTAAACAACTTGTTTTCCCTTCCAGTGCCTGCTCCCAGCCCCTGCTCCCTCAGTTTTTTCCAGACTCAGTTGTCATCACATTATCCTGAAAATAAACTGTTTAAATCTGCTTCTTTCTGTGCGTCTGCCTACTTAAGAGTCCAAGAGCTAGAATTATGATAGCTAGAGTTCTATTCTCTCCTCCTTGACTGCCAGAGGCAACGCTTTAAGCAGTGAATCGGGGCAAATGATGATGACTTTGAAATACGGGTTAATATATATAAGCAGCCTTTAGAAATTGCTCTTTATAATTACATAGGAGTGGGTTTGCATTTAAGGAGGCCCTTTTGCCTACAGCAGCACAATGGGACTGCGGCAAGTTATGGACCTATATACAATCTTAGAGTAATAAAATACTGTTTATAAAATTATATGTGTAAACTACCTTTACACAGGCCACAACCGGCAACCGCCCAGTTATAATGAAGGTGACTAATTTAAATGGCCAGTTGTTGAGTTGATGATGTCGTAGTTAATTGATAGATCATTCAAAATGGAGGGTAAAACTAATTGAATGTTATTAGTTGAATAGTTATAACTTTAATCCACCTACTAACCAGGATTTTTGGCCTCTCACACTCCAGGTGGGCTTCTGGACCGACTGATTAAAATCCAGTTATCTCCACAACTTAAGTAAATTAGGCAATGGCTATTAGAAGAATGAATAATTACCAATCAAAGAAAATTGTTTCTACTTGCATGCTACCAAAAGGAGGGTGACTTTGACCTGAGTA